TTGGAAACCAATAAATGCCTCAGTGTTGCCAGGGCATCTCAGAGACTTTGTCTGGAGGTTGGGCTGGGGCTTGCTCCCCACGCGAGATCGGTTGCAGCGATGGCAGGTAGTTCGCACTTCCACTTGCCCCAACTGCGTCATGGTAGAGTCCAATCGACATGCGACGTTTGAATGTGTGGTTTCCCGCTTTTTTGGCGTGCGGTTAATGCTGGTTTTCGAGGACACGGTGTGCGAACTTTCGTGTCCAATGGCCGATTTCCGCGTAGCCGTTTCTCCGCTCTTTTAATATTTGCGGGGCTGTTCAGCCATTGGAGAAACCGATGTGAGGCCGTAGCTGTCAATTGCTGCCGGCGTGCTTTGTGGCCGATACTGGGGAGAATGAGACGAGAGATCCTCGCGATCCTCTCCGAGGAGCTTTTCTTCCTCGGGGAGCAAGAGTTTCTGGGGCATTGGTCGTGCCCTTTCATCAAGGTGGAACACAAAAGGATACAACTCATTTTTCGACCGGCTTAGTGCTAAGCAGCGCCCGTTGAGTTGTTTTATATGATTTCATTTGTTACATATCGAGTTTCATTGCATGTATTGTATCGTTATACCATTGTATCATGATATCGCATTGAGTTCTTGTGTACATATATGCAAACATTGTCATGTAATTTAGAGCAAATGTCTTCACTGTAACGTAGTGATGTTAGTCGTGAAATATAGATGTGCCGAAGTGTATGCGCCCTGTCACTGAAATGGTATGAAGCCTTTGTGTTATGTACATGCTGTAAATAAATTTTTTCTAACCAAAAAGCTTGTTCTTGTTCCCATATATTAACTGTGGCGCCTATACACTTCATCCCCTATTCCTCATCGTATAGTCAGTCACTGCATTAACAATTGGCACAAAATTCCTTGCAAGTGTTCAGCGGATACCACGCTTCTGAAAAGAATGACAAAAAAATAACATAGCGAATGGCGGCCTACTAACCAGAAGTTTATTAATAATGCCCTAGTGGGTATTAAGCAAGTGTGCTTGCATTAGTTACCCAATGAGTGTTTTGAAAAGGCTCTGAAAGGCTGCTCTTCTAGCTTTCGCTGTGACTGTGCTGCGTCTTTCGCGAAGGCCTGGCGTATTTTTTGTTTTGTCACACGTTGTCGCGCTTTGGCATCGGTGGTGGCACCGTCCACACCCCCACTGAGCCTGCTCGCGTCTCGTGCCGGCCCAGGAAGACACCTCGCCTCGCAAGGCCGACGCGGGCAATGTCTGCTCGTAAAGAAACGACTGTCCGCCACTACACCACCGTTCGTTCGCCCCCCCCCCCCCCCCCCGTATATGTAGGCACTGTATCGCGCGTTAGTCAAGGGCGTCTTTACTTGGCTTTCGCTTGACGTTGAAAACAAGGCTCCTTCTTCATTCAGTAAGTAAAAATAATAAAGTCGAAATAACAATATAGCATTCCCAAACCATGGCCGATTGCGCAACATTCACGCGATACCCTCTCGCCCACACTCGGCGACGCATTTACTTGAGTTCCTCCCGTGGGAAGATTACATACCTCTATGTGTGCACGAATGTAGTAACCCCCTCACAGCATATTCACGGAGTGAATGATCATGTGTAGGGCAAAAATTCGGAGGGCTTCATTGGCTAACCGTTAATCATCCACTGCCAAGTCCGTCCGTCGTCTATCTGTCTGCCTGTTTGACGCACGGACGGACAGGTGAACGCAGGGATGGACACGCGGACGGACGCACAGACGAATGAACGGATGGACGGACAGACGGACGGACGGAAGCAAGAATGATTAAATGGACGGAAGCGTGGACGGACTGATGGTCGCTTCGCCCCACTCATCATCATTTAGTCCCTGGATATGCTGTGGTTTCTTTTTTTTTTCATTTTGCCAATATTCCCAACCCCCATTCGCAATGGGGGTCCGTCTGCCACAATCGATGGTTACGGCGTAATTTTTGTCGACACTCGCGCATGCGCAATGGGTGCCAGCGAAAGGAATGCGACCTGCGGGAGCCGATTTCGGACGAGCCGGGTGCCACCACCGCCGCCGTCTGATAGGCGAGCCGGAAAAGCGAAAACGCTGCGCTGATTATGAGAAAACTTACTGATATACTCGCTTTTGTAACACCTGTGTGCCATTCGCAGCCTCAATACGGCTCATATTTTGAATCTGCAATACACTTGCAAGTTTGCACTTCGTGTTTAATCCAGTGAATGCACGAGAGCAACGGCGCGAATCGGCAAGATAATTGCCTTGGCAGGCTGCTCCCTTCTGCAGATGCGGTACGTTCAAGGTTCGGAACATAATGAAACAGTTAAATGTTATTCAGTTTGTCCTGCTATTTAGCCAGATGAAGTGCCCCTGAATCATCCTTTACCATGTGCGTTACAATACGTGTGCACGAGTATCGTTCGCAGGAGTGCAGGTCGGCCGACTGCGACCATATTGAAAAAAAAAAAAAACTTTGCCAAAGATGAGGTTACCGCACGCAAAACGTAAACAGGAAGCGAGAACTCAAACAATAAATTACCTTACTGTGTCAGGCACGTCTAATTCTTGACTCGTCAAACTCCGGTGGAAACAGTGGGCCACATACTGCTTTCAGATCGGCTCACCGCCACCTCACCGCAGCCGTGGACGCTGCCATTGGCGTCTAGAAATTCTAGGCTTTTTTCGATGAGTCACGCAACAGCATAGTGCTTAAGAAAAACTACCAAGACTTTCCCTGAGAGTGAACATCATTAAGTGCGAATGCACGGGGTGATGCTATGTATGAGGGGGAGTAAAGTTAAAATCCGTTGGCATTCACCAATGAGTTAACGAAAACTCCCCCGTGTGATCACATTGCGATTCCCAAGAACCATTAGACCCTCTAGGGAAATCTTGGTGAGATTACGCGTATATGTGAGAGTAAATTCATAATGATGTTTATGTGCGCGGCCCGCTTCGCCCGCTTGCGCTCGGCATCACATGCCCTACGCCGCACCGCCTTGTCTTCAACCGGCGCGACATCTTCAACGACGCGTGCAATGCTCGCATTCGATTGCGTTCTACTCGTTGTTGGAAGTATCGCAGTCGAGGTTGATACCTGCGATGGATCCATGCTTATGACGATTTGCCGATCTCGAGCAAGTCGTGGCTGAGCGGGCGCGGAGCGTAAGGCGGAGCGCTCGCAATCACGTGGTGTGTGACGTCGCTGTGCCGTTGCTACAGACGCTTCTCTCCGCTCCTCGCGCCGTTACTGGGGAGAGGAAGAGGCACACCATGGACGGCGGATTCAGGGTCGCTTATAAAGTGCATACGCACTTAAAACAAACTGCGGTGCCAACCATTTTCGGACAAGCTTTTCCACATGCACTTACTGCAGCTGCGAAAAAAACCATCGCCCACCTTCTATGTGAGTGTACCCATTTCAACGCACCAAGACAAAAACTTACCGAAGCTCTGGATAGATTAGATGATCGGCCTTTGTCGGAACGAAGAATTCTGGGTCATTGGCTGAGCCCATCCTCATCCCAGAAGGCTTTGAAAGCTTTGCTATGCTTTTTGCGGACAACTCGCCTCAGAGAGAGACTTTAGTTTCTTATTATCTTTGATTTTGCCTTTCCTCTTTCGCAATTTTTTTGTATTTTCTCTCTCTCTGTCTATCTATTTATCTCGCTGCAACATTTTTTTTCTATCATCTTTTATTCTCCTCACCCTTTTCCCCACCACAGTGTAGCTAGCCGGTCTAAGAACTGGCTAACCTGCCTGTCCTTTCACTGAATCTTTCCTCCTCCTCCTCCTCCTCCTCCTCTGAAACTTCGTATGCTAGGTCTGCGGCAACCAAAGATGACAATGCACCTCACTTTTTACCAATTAAAGGCTACGCAGGACCCAGTAGATGTCTTCAAAACCCATGACGTCACGGTTGTTGGTGCGTAAATCTTCAGGTGGCGCCTCCACCCGAATTTTCTTTTCGTGCGTTTTCTCGCTTGCCAAGCGTTGTATCGTAGTGAGAGTTTTCGAAATTCTGAAATTGTACTTCACCAATACGCGAAAATTCAAATATCTCTTCAGTGTCCTTTCAACGTTGCCACTGTAAAAGTTATAAAATTTGACGACTACGAGTGTATCTCGCATTGTACAGAAAACCTAGCAGGGCTGTGAGTAATCAGTATAGCGGGCCCTATAGTCGTGTGGGCAAGGTAAATATTGAAACAGCAAACACTCAGGGAACATTATTCGGTTCTTATTAGGGGACGAAATTAGTTCGCGGATGAGACGGAACATACCATTTACCGAGGCATTTTCAACACGGTGTAATTAGGTGGAGCACTTGAACGTGAAGAGCTAACACGTAGAGGGCTGCAGTCGACCCACCACTGGCGGATTGTGAACAGTCTGTATTTGTGAATGACAGATAATACGGGACTGTCATTTCGAAGCTGGGGCTCTTATATGTGTGCACTTTGTGCGTCGCTAAACAAACAGCTGTTTTTCGAATTGCGCCCATCGAAATTTGCTTGATTAAGAACAAGAGAGTCTTGACATGAATGACTATAATATAGCACAATGCTGGAACGAATTTAATATGAAGGACAGATTCAAGTAAGATTTCATTTGGCAGCGTGGTGAGAGAGTATATACGGAATCGTACCTTACAATGATCTGTACTGAAATTATTTTAACGTTGTAAATGTATTTTTTTTATTTTTCTCATACAGAAGGGACAACAACAGCTAGAAAACCGTAGCTTGAGTGTGCCTGACGCCCGACAGAAATACACTCAAGTGACATACATGGCAGAAGAAAGTAAAATGCTCTCAACGAGCAAAAATTGAAATTGATTGCACGTATAGGTGTTACGTAACATATACGAAATAAATAAAAAAAAATAGAACTATGCAAGACTCCCCCCTCCCCTGCCTAAAAACACGTACTCCTCTGGTATAAACGTACACACAGAAAACGAAAACCGCTGGGCCTGCGCGGAACACGTAGCACAGTCGCGGAACTGCACCACAAGTCAGTGGCGATCGCAAAATCCCTCGTCCTCAGAAAAGCACAAGCACAGAGTGCCTTGCAGGTCGACATGAGGTGGGGACGGTGTTCCCTGCACGCTGTGTGGCCGAAGCATTCTTAAAATGCCCTTTCAATATCAGGGAAGCGTTCAACTGGTTGGATAAGTAGATGTGGTTTTGGAGTACACGAAGTCTCTGTATAAATCCACGACGGCCTGGCGACTGTCCAAGGACACGTAGTGACCGGCATTCACGAGCAAAGCGTACGTGAAGTTGCGGACCATCATCTTGTAGCCCACCACTTCACCTCCTGCGTCGGAGGCATTCTTGTACGGTATTCTTCTCGCCATTCTGAGGTCCTCCTTGCCTTTCCATTGCAGCGACCTCAAGAACCCGTAGACTTCATCCGCCGGGTATACGACGTCCATATTACCACCGTACACGAGCACTCGCTCTTTGTCCAGCACGGTCGCCACGAGCTCGCTGATGTCCTTGAAGGCGTCGTAGGAGTAAAGTGTCGTGCTCACGATGTTGCGTTGGCGGTCCATACTGGCGTTGATGCCGACGTGGACGGCCCTCTTGAAGTCGTCGCTGGTGACGTACTTCCTGTACATTGCGAACTCCGGTGGCTCTGTAGAACGGAGTGCCGACGCCCTGTGACTGTACCCTGTCAGTGATTCGAAAAGCGAGGGGCCACCGTCAGCCATTTTGGTGAAGACCTCCCTGGAAATTGAGAGAAACGAGAAGTGCTGTTTGATCGTCAATAAACAATGCCATGGTTTCCAGCTGTATTGCGCGAAGTGGCTAGTTCAGTTACCCCATTCACAGGTTTGATCTCGGTCTTTTTACTTACAGATATAGACATAGCCTTTAACGTGCATACGGTTTGCGTATATACGTTTAAAAAATAAGTAGTCTAAAACACCAATGATGAGTGGCCGTTAATCTAACAGTGTCCTTGAATAAGTTTAGTTGCACGGAGAAAGAAAGATCTAAAGGTGTACAATTCAGGCTACAATAATCAGAAACAGAAAAAGGTAAAAAAAATAAGCTGTGAGCATCACAAACTCACTTCAACGCATATCATATAAGGCCAGAAATTCTGGAGTTTTGAACATACTACCAATCTGCATTTTATTCTCGTTACTATTGTATCTATCAGAGCAAACGAACCTTCGCTTACCGGCTTGCTTGCTTGCGTGTTTTTATAAGTTTGGCTCGTACCCACTATGGAGGATTGGTCATTTAACCGGTGGTTATTGTAATTAGGAAAAACGAATTTCAAATGTTGACGAAGAAACAGTTTAAACTTTCTTTTATTCATAGCGAGGGTCTCGTTCTTGCAGACATGATGCATTCAGGTGGTATGCGAGAGATTATTAGTCAGCTGCCATCTCGTAATTCGTTCACATACTACAAACAGGCAAAAAAAAGTGTTCCACACTCGCTGTAGTGGCAACAGATGGCGCTGACAGACGCTCCCACGTTTACATGCGCTGTTCCTTTTTTTCCGAAAAAGGCATGGACGCCTGTCAGTGAACTCAAGTGCAACTTCATTTTGTGGCAGTGATTGAGCCGTGATGTGCGTTCAAATGCTTTAAGGCTGCTTGTGAAATTGATGACTGAGTGCGATTGTTTGTAGATAGTGAGTTATAAGCGAGTCTTCGTCGTAGTCATCACTGCCTTCTTTAAATAAGACGATCATTTCTTCTTTGATCGTCTGCCATGAGTCATACTTTTGAATGATGTGTGTAAAGTAGAACTTGAAAGCTTCACCGAAGACGTAGTCTGTAAAGTTGATGACCATCTCCAGTTTCGATCAGGATGCAGCGGTAGCGTGGAGTTTGAACTGATCGAACCAGTCCTGTAAAGGTCTATTGTCCGTCCGCTGCTCTAGTGAATTTGGCGATGGGAAGGTGAGCCGATGGTTCTGTCATGATGTCGGTAACTGCATGCATCTGAGACCACCTCTTCTGTGGCCGATGTTCAGTTGAGGCGTCTTGCCGGTGTCTTCATGAATGAAGTGAGGCTAATGAGAGGTGGCCAGGTCTTTATCCTTCAGACTTGTGGGATGTTAGATGTGGGAGACGTGACCTGGCTCAAACACCATGAATTCATTCCTGTCTATTCCAGCTATGCGTGAAGCCATGGACAAATGATGGCTCCAACAAAGAATGCCATGGAAAAGTTGGGGGGTAGGTCGAAAAGCAAACAATTAAAACAATCGATAAATAAATAAATAAATAAATAAATAAATATGAATTGTATTTCGGGTTTGACGTGCACAATATGATTATGAGACGGCGTAGGGGAGGGCTTCAAAAGATCGACCATCTGATGTTCTTTAACTTGCACTTAATCTTGAAATAAATAAATAAATAAATAAATAAGTAGATTAATAATTAATTAATTAATTAATTAATAACCAGCGCACTGAATACAGAGCTCATAAACAAGAAATTAAAAAATATTTCTATGAGCCACTAATCTAAAAAAACTAAAAAAAATTGGCAGCATATCCACGGAGTCAATGATGGAGAGTGGGGCGAAGCATTCGTCCGTCCATTCGTTCTTGGTTCCTTCCGTCTGTGTGACCGTCCATGCGTCCATCCGCCCGTCCGTGCGTGCGTCCATTCCTGCGTTCGTCCATGCATCCGCCCTTGCGTCCGTTCATGCGTCCATTCATGCATCTGTCTGTGTGTCCGTTCGTCCATCTATTCAACACTCCAAGTACCACCATCTCGCATTTTTTCATCATATATTCCCCATATAGAAACACCGCCATTCAGCGGACATTCCAAGGACTAAACGAGAGGTGGCACACGCACACTTTCTAACAGCTTGCGCTTCGGGTCTACTTCTCACCTTTAACCACCTCGAGTTCATGGTATACTAGTTCACTGTATTCATTGCACTGCGGCCCAACACTCGCTAAACCTTTCTAAAACCAATGAGGTTACGCCCAGCGAGTATAACGTAGCAACCTTTTCCTGGCAGATAGAGCTCAATGTACATACATGCCAATGGCTGCATGGGAAATGACAGACAGGAGAATTCGGCTTTTACTTTCTTACGGCTTGCACTTCGTACCTACTTCCCACTTTTAACTACCTCGAGTTCATTCATGGTATATACTAGTTCATTGTATTCATGGCACTGCGGCTCAACGCTCACTAAACCTTTCTAAAACTAAGGTGGTTACACCCAGCGGGTATAACGTAGCAACCCTTTCCCTTCAGATAGTGCTCAATGTACATGCAATGGCTGCTAATGGGGATCGCAGCGTGCACGTTAACTAAAAGCCGAATGCTCCTGTCTCTCATACCCCATTATCACCTATTGGCATGTACATTGAGCACTATTTTTTGTTGTTCAACAACGCACAGAAGGAATCTCTCACCGGCACCACCTTGGAGGTCGAAATGTTTGCCGGTCAAAGCGTAAGACTGGCTACATACTACGCGGGACGAACAGGTGCCGCTATAAAGAGCTTCGCCCCTAAAAAGGATGATCCTTTGAAGTACTGAAAAAGTACGAAGATGCACTTTATCCAGGTATCAACAAAGCTGTTTTTCGATACCTTCCCTACTGCAAAAACCAGCGCCACTGGTACCAGCGTCCAGCGCCATGCCGGATTAAGGACCCAGTATGGCGCTGGTACCAGCGCCTCCCAGCGCAGGTACTGGGACGCTTGCAGCGTCCCAGTACTCTGCGCAAAATTTCGTCCCAGGGATAAAACGGAGGCGCCCATTCGCCATAAATAAGTAAATATATAAGTAAAATACCACGCATTCACAATAAAAAAATAAAAAAACTGCTTGACGGGATTCCAACTTGCTACCTCTAGATCTCCAACCAATTACGCTATCCACTACGCCACGCAAAAACGCGCTTGAGGGGGGGAGGGGGGTTGTAAAACGACTATTTGTCCAAAGAACGCGCCGTTCAACTTCATGTTTACAAGTCGCACTGTCCAGACTGACACGACATTCATTTCCAAATACTAATTGCGTCTTGATTCGACAGTGACGAACGGCTTCCGGGCACCGAATGACGTGCAGATATTACCAAGAGCGCCAAGTTTTTGATGCATCTACATCTTAACTCTGAAAAATCTCAAATTGACTGGAGGAGCAGCCACAGATTGTCCGCTGTTGCTGCCGATAGTCTTTTTTTCCTTTGAAAGTCGTTTTTAGCACTTGCTCCTGGTCAACAAGTACAGTTGGTTTACATATCTTGTTTGGTAGATATCCATGCACACGAGTGAATTTTGAGTAGTTTTTTTTTTCGCGCAAGCGACGATGTAGCAGTACACATCCGGCGTGGCAGATTACATATTTGCAGTTATATCGATACCTGCAACTAAGAAACCGCCGAGGAAATGACTAATGCAATCCGCTGAAAAAGTATGCCGGTATGTTCGTTCACTAACGCGTACCAAATTGCCAGCTCAAAATTGCGTGTTCTTACGTACGAGTCAGAGAAGTACCGGCTCCTGCGCTCAGAAGGAAGCTTTCGGTGACAGCCTACGTTGCTGAAAGCACGACACGTCGATCGTCGCCGCTCCTTGTGCGGGCATCGCACACGCAGATAAATGGTCGATTTAAGCTCAGGGATGTCTAAACTGTACTTTACAGTCGATTTTACACTTTCGAATTGTGCCTACTTAAAGTAAAAAGCGCCGGCAGCAGGTACACCGACGCGGGCGGCATGACAGGCCTCGCTGGGATGGGGCACTGGGTAAGGCTACTTTCGAAGCAGCTGAGTTGCGATGCTTGAAGTTTCTGCATTTGAGCTTCGCAATATTTCTAACTGTTACCTAAACTGTGCCTGAAGTAAGTGGAAGGTCAATCAATGCCAGATATGCATTTACGGATTGGCGATGGTGAGACAATCCGTAAATGCACAGAAATACCAGTGCAATCCGCTGAAAACGTATGCCAGGGAGTCAGTTCACGAAGGCGTACTAAATTACCAACTGAAAATTGCGCGCTGTTACATGTCAGTCGGAGAAGTACCGGCTAAGTGCGGCCGGCAGCTTTCGGTGACAGCCTGCGTAGCTGAAAGCGCGACGTTCGATCGTCAAAGGTCCTTGTGCGAACATCGACACAGGACAAAATAGTTGATTCAGGTTCATGGATGTCTAAACTATACTTTACAGTTATTCTCAGACTTTAAAGTTGTGTGTACACGTAGAAGCGCCGGCAACATATATACCAACGCGGCTGGCACGACAGGTTTAATGCTCGCTGGGCCTGGCACTGGGTAATACCGCTTACGTATGCTCGGTATCTGTTAAAAAAATTACGTATGCTTGATATCTGTTAGGGTAGCATCTCTCCCTGCCATCAAATCAAGCGTTTTATATTCAATGACACCGAAACATACCACGGCACACGCTACAACAACATGCACGCTGCAGCTTCGCTGGTAGAAACAGTGCGTGCTCCAGTATTCACCAGCGCTTGCCAGTGAAAATTACAGCGCTTCCAGTGGTTCGCAGTGCGCACCAGCATCACAGTGATTGAGCCAGCGCCCCTACCAGCGCGACACAGCTTTTTCCCAGTGCGCCCAGCGGAGTGCCGGTGATTACAAGCGTGTACCAGCATCTCCAGCGTGTACCAGTGCCAAAAAACGTGCTGGCATCATGCTGTTTTTGCAATAGGGAACCCATGCCTGCTACAGAGACGCTCAGTGAGCGCATGCCTTAAACTTCGGGAAACACCGCAACACCACGGCAAGTGAGCCTGAAGCCGAGTCACGCGGAAAAGGTTGTGTTTCGGCGTGACAATCTGTGGTCTTTCGGTAGCAGTCTCTCACCGCCCTGATGACATGAGCTTATGTCATTTCTTTGATCTCCCTTTCAATCCTAGATAAAACATTCTGTAATCAATATTAGATTCGATATATTTGGCCACTTATCCGCAACATGCAATCGGAAGTTGATTCGAGACGAATTTTCACTATCAGTCACATACCCCTGCAAATATAATAGAAGATAATTAAGAAGAGAGCTGTTAGACCAACCTAAGCAGTAAGATGGCAACGAGGATCTCTTCTTCATCCACCGATTCCTTGATGTGCCCGAACTTCTCGTCAAACCGTCTCCTCCCGTGGACGTCAATGAGGCCCATCTTGAGCAAGAACTCCGCGGGGTTCGCTGCTCTCAGCAAGGGCGCTATGAAACCGGCTCCGCTCATGATGCCAGCCAATCTCAGGCTCGTCTTGACTGCCTTGGTGTGGTACCGGTTGGCGTAGCCAAATGCATCCCTTGCTACGGAAACAATCATCATCATTTTAATAATAATAATAATAATAATAATAATAATAATAATAATAATAATAATAATAATAATATAATAATAATAATAATAATAATAATAATAATAATAATAATAATAATAATAATAATAATAATAATATAATAATAATAATAATAATAATAATAATAATAATAATAATAATAATAATAATAAATTTATTATCATTACATGATGCGTGTTCGCAACTGGCGTATAGGTTGGAGGCAGAGTTGCCAGTTGCGCTTTTTCTCTCCAGGCGCTAAAATTAATAATACTTATCATCATCATCGTCGTCGTTGTCAGTTTGACTACGCCCACCGCAGAGCAAAGGTCTCTCCCATGGTTGGGTGACCAACCCGGTCTTGCGCTTTCAACTGCCCCGTCATACCTGCGAAATTTGAAATCTTATCTGCCAATCTAATTGTCTGTCCCTCTCACGCGCTTTATTATTATTATTATTATTTGATTTGCATACACAGATACACACGGATACAGAGGAGAGAGGGAGAGAGCAAGCTGGCAACTGCCACCTAAAGGGGCACAATGCCTGCTCACTCTTTCGGGAGGAGGGAAAAAACAGAAAAACAAATTATTAGAGGGGAGAAAGAGGAAAGAAGATGAGGAAGGGAAAAAATTACGAAGACTTCGACGAGTATGAGTAAAAAAATATACAGAAAAATAATAAAAAAAGAAAAAGATGCTGTCTGTTGGAATTCAGTCAGTTGCACACAACGACCAACGGTTATGCTGCCCACGTGCTACGTACCCGACCCATTTCAACATGACATCCTTAACCCAGGATTGTTCTCTGATCCACCTGGCTATCTTCCTGTCTCTTAAGGTTACACCTATCACTTATCTTTCCATCGCTCGCTGCGTTGTCCTCAATTTAAGTTGGACTGTCTTTGTAAGCCTCCAGAGAGAATGAGAAATAGAGGCTAATTATGCTAGAAAGCTGAGAGGTTGACATCTCATAATAAGAGGTACAAGAAGAACGTGATGCAGACGTATGCGCCTACATCCAGCCATGAATTATCATCTGGTTGAACGCTTCTACCAAAGCGTACAGTAGTGAATGAGTAAAGGCGCACGTGAAATTACATTACAATGACGCAGGGGGCAAATGTTGAATAAAACAGGTCACTGACCAATGTCAAACAAAACAATGACGTTTCGGGACCCGTACGGATCCATTGTGAACAAGGGATCCGTACGGGTCCCGAAACGTCATTGTTTTGTTTGACATTGGTCAGTGACCTGTTTTATTCAACAATGCCTTTACCTGACCAGACGGCATTCCGTCGAACTCTCGACTAAGGGGGCAAATATATGGCAAAATCACGGACATGGAACGTAACATACTCCTTCGAAAGATGGAGCAATCGCCGGATCTGATATGCATTAACCAGCTACACTTTTTTTCAGCCTCAATTATATAACGAGCCAGTTTGCCTGCGGTTGTTGCGACTATATTGAACCTATTAAAGACTGATATGTAGATTATAGCGCCCCTCGCTATCAACTGCGCAAAAAGACGCATAAAAAGGAGTTATGCTATTGAATTGATTAAGTCGTAGCAAGGTGGCAAGTTGGGCCAGTTGGATTACGTTCATAATTCAAAATTTTGTTGAAGCGCACTAAAAACGGACAGACAGAAGAGGCTGAAAAGGACAGCGCTTGCTCTCATAGCTGAAGGTTTACCTTTTCTGATTATAAACCTTCAGTTGCGACAGCAAGCGCTGTCCTTGTCAGCCTCTTCTGTCCGTCCGTTTTAAGTGCGCTTCAACAAAAATTTTCAATTATGATTAAGTCGTGTATAGCTTACCTACTTCATGTGGCAATGCTTCCATGGGACAAATAAACCACCTCAGGGAAGCCTGAAACAATGCAAGCGAGAAGTACGGATTGTTCACAGATGTACATTGCAGAAGGGGGGCAGGCAGGGATGATCTTGATGTAATTTCCTATGCTGAACGAAGTATAGATCAGCGCGTGAACAGGAAGCACATACCACTATTTATGTTATTCAGTAAGTTTCACAATAAGCAGAAACAAACTGCGCGCGTGACATAACAGAGGCTGAAATGAGTCTTCCCGACAAATGTGTCAAAACTAAGAATATTTAGTTGATCCTGCTATGTCCGTGATATGCGCAATACTTAGCCTCGTCCTGGCCTCATTTTTTCCCTAATATACGTGTGCTTTATATATTCTGTGAACAGGAAGCACATACCACTATTTATTTTATTCATTATTTTCACAATAAGCAGAAACAAACTCGCGCGTGACATAACAGAGGCTGAAATGAGTCTTCCCGACAAATGTGTCAAACTAAGAATTTAGTTACCTGCTATGTCCGTGATTGCGCAATACTTAGCCTCGTGCGCTGGCCTCATGTAATATCACGTGTGCTTTTATATATTCTGTTCAGCTGGCCTCAGAAGAGTCGAAAGTTAGCGACCATGTATCTTGTGTTCATTTAGGTCCTCGTCTGACTGTGCGCTCAAGGTATATCGATAATGCGAGTCCAGGCTATTGTATAGGATACTCGTGGCTTCTACTAGGTATGTATCTTTACAATGATGTAATGGAGCAATGCCGCCGCAAAACTATGCGTCTTCATCACCCTTACATTTTTTAAATGCATTTTCTGTGTTTCGAAAATGTTGCCCAGAGTCAAATAAACGAATATAATGAGTACCCGAGTATGATTCCCCGGCGAAATAGAACTGCCTGCCTCGGAATTCGGGAAAGAGGAGCTCGAACTGGCGTAGGAAGTCGTCGACGCCATCTACGGCGTCATCGGTGCTCTTGGCGAACGTCCTGTCGTCGTCTTCCTTTTCGGCAAAGCTGTACCCGCTGCCCACCGGATGGTCTAAATAGAGGACGTGCGCAAACGACTGCAGCTGACCGCTGGTCAGAGACGCCGCCACGAGTCGCCCTTGGGCGTTCAGGGTGAAGGGACCGTTGAAAAGCAGTGGTCCGAGTAGCGACGACACACCGGGACCACCGAACGTCCAAAGAATAAGAGGGGCCTCGTCGGCAGAAGGGTGCTGTTGAAAAACACATAAAGAAAATCACTAAAGAAGCTGAAAATTATGAGCAGCGCTCGAAGGACATAGCACGAGAGAAAAAAAACGGACAGATACAGTTCTGCCTCACAAAAAAAAGGTTTACTGCCTTGTTTCCCTCTCCCCACATGTAGGGAAGCGAGCTGAAAGCAGTGTAGTTGACCTCCCTACTTTTCTTGTATTTCATCTCTCCCCATCTACTGAAAGTTTTGTTGTCTCTTTCCAATTTTTCTTGTCTCTCTCATCTTATACTTTCCTTTCTCATTCCCCCAGCGTAGGGTAGCAAACCGGGCATGTGTCTGGTTAACCTCCCTGCCTTCTCTCTTGTTTTTCCTCCTCTCTCTCTCTCTCTCTCGCCCTAGATACAAAAGCTCTATTCTCCTTCCACACCTCAAAAACAAAAAAGAAAAATATGCGGAACACGAAATTTCCGGTTCAACGGACATTACGTCCTGTAGTAGTCTTTTTGACCAACACAACTGCTTTTTAGAATAGAAGCACCGTGCACTAACAAAGCTGAAATTGGAATGATGTGCATTGAAGCCCACGTTCCGTAAACTTTTGTGGGTTGGGCACCTCCATAAATCTTCGGAGTCATAACGTTGGCAAAATATTTGGAACCGACACATTTTTTCGAGGCTTCAAATAAGCTGCTTTGTTTCTTTAATGTCACGCGACAGGACGTCTGAGTAATCAGAGGACGTTTATAATAAACTGACATTCTAACCTTAAGAGACAGGAAGAGAACAAAGTGAGCCCGGCAACAAACGGGGGTTAAGAGTATCGTAGGACGACATTATAGACATTACGAAGAAGAAATGCGCATGGGCCGGGCAAGTAGTGCGTAGTCGTGACAACCACTGGTCGTTAAGGGTAACTGACTGGATTCGAAGAGAAGGAAACGCGTGAGAGGGAGGAGGAGGAGGAATAAACGTTTTTTTTTATTGTTCAAAACGGTGTCACCGTGCAAGTTATGTGGGAGGTCTCATCAATCCAGAAACCCTCCGGCCTTCGCTGCAGCTTCGGACCTGGCGACGAGACGTCGTTGTGGGTCCTTCGAGGCGAGCATGGCCTGTCACGTTTCTAGAAGGCGTACATGTGCTTGATCGGTGTGACATGTATTCGTAGAAGGCGATGGGTCTGTATGTGTATTGCAAGGGTGCGCAATGATCATGAGTGCGAAGGTGTCAGGTACGACGCAAATCGGAGACAGAAAATTAGGTGGGCAGTGGCTGGAGAAAAACAGCGCAGAAAATAAAAAAGACACAGAAACACAGTACACATACAGCGCTCGTATGTGTACTGTGTTTCTGTGCCCTCGTCTTTTTCGCGCAGTTTTAGGGGCGATGTTCCTTAAAGCGGCACCCGTTCGTCCCTCGTAGTCGCAGTCGTAGTGTGTAACAAATGTTACACTTTGACCAGCGAGGTGGTGCCAATGGTAGATTTCAATGTGCTTTGTTGAACAATAAAAAGTTCGCAGCGTGCGCATTAACTAAAAGCCGAATGCTCCTGTCTCTCATTCCCCATTAGAGCCATTGGCATGTTCCAGTAGAAAAACGTTAGTAGAATTAGAAGTGTTAAAAGCCGACTTCTGCTGTCTCTCATTCCCAGTAGCAGCCATTGCTTACCTCCAAGGTAGAGCCTGGTGATATTTCTCCTATGCGTGATTAAACAATAAAAATGTTTTGTTCAAAACGATGTTGATTGATGAAATAAACCAACGAAAGACGCCAGATGTTTTCTAAATAAAAGCAAATCGAAAAGACGCCAGATGTTTCTAAAGCAAAACAAAAAGAAGACACCAGCTGCTTAACAAAAGACGCCAGGTGTTTTTTTTTTATCGGGCGAGCTAAGGGAAGAAATATTCACGGTATTACTTCCAGGAGCTTCGCCCAATCTCATCATCATTCTCCTCGTGGATCTGCCGTCAATTTCTTTCTCACTAAACAATGTACCAACTTGCCCAAATCCAAGTCATGCTTAAGATTTCTGAAGGTAAAAAAAAATGCAGCAGAAAGCGCGGGAGTGGGTTGATTGGCGGAACATGAGGGAGGCGTTTGCCCTGCAGTGGGTGCAGTCAGGCTAATTATGATGATGACGATGACAAGGATGACATTCGAAACCTCAGCCGCGACGTAAAGGTACTTCGTGTTGCACCACCAATCTGGAGACGACACACTAATACTCCCCGAGGGGAAACGCGCGCTGTCACAAGCCGAGACAGCGGCAACGCGACGCCTTTCGCACGACGCGAAGTGAACGTACGGGGCGGCGGGTGAAGCCCTCGAAAATCCTCTCTCGCTCGAGGATTTCGTCGAATTAGAGGCACGTGGCGTGACAGCGCGATCGATAAGTGTAGCGAGCGAGCAAGCGGCGTCCCGAGAGTGCGGCGCTGTTGCCGGATCGAGTTTTAAGACTCTGCAAGCTCACGTTGCCTTTAGCTCTGACTTAAGTTGCGAACTGATTGAGCTGAAACTCCGGTTCCTACCTCTTAACATCAACTCCAACAGTGAAAACACTTTGTCAAGGTGTGACAAAGAAGTTGGTAGACTGGAAGCGAGCGTGTAAGCCGTTCTTCTGAGCTAACGAAAGTGCGTAACATTTTGCACCACAGAGATTTCTATATATACCCTAGATAGGATTCTGGCACTAGTCTCTATGGGAGCTGCAACGCACGGCACTTCAGCCAACATGGGAATGATAGTAATAGTTAACAAATTTGTCGAATGTTTGTTTTTTTTTGCTATGTTTGACTTCGTGGGGCGTGAATGTGCTCTGCCGCAAAGCGAAGTCTAGCAAAGGTTAAGCAGTTACGCTTCCCCCCCCCCTGAACTTTTTAGGCTCACCTATTCAAACCGGCTCACGAAGTTCACTATGGTCCTTTTAATAGAATAGCGTTAAAGAGGTCGTTTGGCCGAAATCCCGGCTTCGGCGTCGGTGTCGTTGCCGGCGTCGTTGGTGCATGGTGAGGGAAGAATTACCGCCTTATGGGCGACCGAAAAGTCGAGAACGATGCAGTTAAAAAAGTTCTGGACCAGAGTGGAGATCGAACCCGGGTCGTTTGCGTGTCAAGCGGAAGTTCCACCACAAAGCCCCGCGTCAGCTCGTTAATGCAGTGAAAATACCTTCCTCTGCTTAGAAATGCACTGACAGTGGCAATCGTGTTTCACAAACACACGCGTCACAATACATGCTTCACAATTCACCGTGAAATATTGCAGTAATAATGCGTCGTACAAGTGTACATTGCCGTCGGATATCAGAACATGTGCTTATCATAAGGACTTCATGGTTTGAAGCTAGTCACCACTGCAAAAAGGAACACACGTTACCGCGTCTATTTCCTTAAGACCACGTAGTGGGTGCAAGTTCGAAAAGGTTTCATGCACTACAAGTGTTTGAAGCACGCACTAGGGACAGGATATTGCAATCACGTTCAACTCCTAGAGGTGAAGCTTGAGAGTCCTGCAATTTTGTTTTGTTCTAATCAAAATCAAAACCCAGCAGTAAACAAATCCCCAAGTGCATTCGAAATCGAAATCACAAAGACCAGGTAAATCCGTGTACCCATCTTTCTCTTGGTGGCTAAATGATCGCAGTGCCATAGCTCCCTCTAATCAATTCTAGGAAACTATGTTTTGCACGACCTATCACGGCTACAGTTTTTTTGTTATTCTAGAGTGTTCCAACGGGAAGTAACCAAAACAGGGGATGGATGAGTCACAAATCACTTCCACATCTCGCGTTTATTTATTTTGCACTGATTTCGTGGTTCCTCTAGCTCGACTTTTCTTTTTTTTTTAACCACGGAACACTATATTATACGTTCTCATGAATTCATTTCACCAGTGTGGAGGAAAAGCAAGACAGGGAGACAGGAAAGGCAGAAACGTTAACCAGACTCGCTACCCTACACCTGAGTATGTGGTTAAGGACTGACCAGATGAAACACTTCAAACAAGTGATGCGGACACGAATAATTCGTGTTTGCACAACTTTGCCGCGTTTATTACACATTTGCGAAATATTTACTCGTTAGTATCTTTACAGCTGAAGAGTATTAGATGCGGGACCTCGGACGTGCCAAGATCTACTCTAGAAACTGACACATGTCTAAAATTATTTACGACACTACTAGACGGGTCATCGCATCTACTGTAGCACAGTAAGTACTGGGTTCAATGCATCCAGTAGTGTCCTACACAAAGTGAGCGTCGGTGACTGGAGGTTTCCAGTAAACTTTCTTTTTCGTTGTGCCGCTTGCATCGAAATCGCTCTCATGTATGCTCTTTAGTGGCGAGTCCGTAGAGCCATTTCAGATGGTTGACTAAATCTGTATGTCGCTTGCAACACGGACTATGTGCGTAAATAAGGTTGCGGCCGGTTAAGGGGAGCTGCACTCTGAGATCGTTACATGGGACCATAACGTTGCATGATTTCAATATCACGGGAGCAGTAGTTCAATCACTAAAGAAGACGCGATCACCATATTTACGTGTATACCAGACGACGGGGTCCAAATCGGCCTAAACCCTCCCAGATAGAGGCCTATTCCAAGACTTACGTCCACATCATATTTAATTATAAAGCTCGCAATTGGTTAATATCTCAGTTTACTTACTCGTAATTTCAAAGGCGTACGCGCCTGCATCTTGTTGCCCATGATCCATAACTACTACTTTGACCATAATATTATTTATTTATTTATTTATTTATCTATTTATTTATTTATTTCTTTAACAATACTGCCAATCTCATCATAGATTATAGCAGGGAAGGCATATCAAAACGAGTGTTTGTTTACACAGATTCATAATGATATGAAACACAAAAAAACCCGTAATCACAAAATGACATGCAAATCATAGGTTATACATTGCCATTAAAGAACACGTAATCAAACAATTTTAGTAATAGCAAAATCATGAACTAGGTTATCGTTAAAAAACGACCGCGAAAAGATAATGCATTCATTTGTAATAAGGGGTAGGGACAACAAACAAGTAGGCATTTTTATTGAAAAACTTATTCAAAGAATTTTAGGAACAATAAACTAATCGAAAAACATGTAACTTGAAATATAACGATCATAAAAAACAAAACTTTTGTATTAGCAATATGACACTGATTCAACGTTTATTGGGTTTATTGATGATGTGATGTCGTTAGTGCGATTTGCGAGGCAAGCAATTCGCATTCAATCGCAGCTGTTAACAAGTTTATGGATGATTCAGCGTTTAAGGTGGGTTTTAGCGAGTTCCAATTTTTAATGGTTAGACGAAAAATGAGTATTCAAAGCAATTAGTGTTAAAAAGTATTCTACAAGAGTATGGGAATGATTATGACGGGTTGTTCTTCCGTGAAAAAAAAAAGATAGATACCTTGAAGTATCTATTTTTATGATGTTGTGGAGTAGTTAAAACATTAGTTTTAGTCTTGTTAGTTTTGTTCGGTTTTGTAGTGTTAAAATGCCTTTCTCTCCACTAAGCTGGCAATCTAGAGACTTGGATCTATATTTACATAGGTCCTCTAGCATAAGTTACCTATGCGATATTGGAACGCCCCTGATCTGATGTGGCATGAACAAGACAAAGGCTGAATGTCAATGGCTTTTACGCAGCATTGCACAGGGCAAGAAATCAGTCGAAGTGCGGCGAGTACGGAACGTCTTCAATGCGCACGTCGCACTTGAAGAAAACGACGTATCGCGCATGTGTAATAGAAGCAGCAATTCGCTTCATGTTAACAAAATGTTTAGGTTATATTACATATACGGGTTGCTCATTTTCTTTCTGCCACATTTATTGACACAATATTCTGTCTGTGCGGCTGCAACAGCGCGGGTTTCTACATAACACCTCAGAACACAAGAGAACATTCGCGCAAACGCACATAGCTGCAGTAGTTAAGAAGGTGAATTAAAAAGCATGAATTATCTCAAGCGTACACTGTATACACCTATAAAACAACAATAATGTTTGCATCGATGTCCGATCATCCGTCTCACTCAAGAAGGTTTCTCTGAGCAAGCTGACGCCTCGCCTATACGGGCCCAATGAACACGGCCCTATTAGAGTATCGCGGTGCGCCAGGCGAAATTCGCCTTGAGTTCTGTGCGCTTCGAAGGATTTCATATTACTATGATGCTTAGTGACAGGCACATGTTAGTCTTGTACATGCACTTTCCGCCATGTAGCCTGCATTTAAGGCCGATCATACTATTTCTCCAGTAATTATGCCAAGCTCTTCCGCCTAAAAGACATACTTTATAAAACTTCGATCCCCAGTTGGCTAGTATCACAATGATTACTGCGTGGTATACGATCGACACCAATGAAGACTTTCTGGGTGTTCGAAACGACACCCTTTTCAAAGGCCAAATAATATCCATATGGTTTGCATTCCAAAAGCGGGATGTGATTCTGAGGGACGCCGTACGGGGAATAAGGCTCCGCAAAATTTGACCATCTGGTGTCCTTTAACGTGCGCTGGCATTGCACAGTACACGGGCCTCCAACATTTCGCCACCGGGTTCGTATCCCTGAACTTCGGGTCATCGGCTGAACCCCGTAACCGTTACGCTACCAAGGCGGACTCTATTTCTTAAAACAAAAGCCTCTTATGTGAGAGATACGTCTAACGCCCAGGCATCGTGAGCACAGGTTTTACGCCCGGGTATTAAGGGTAACTAACTGGATTCCCAGAGAAGGCAAGTGGGTTAGGGGGAGACAGAAGGTTAGGTGGGCAGATGGGATTAGGAAGTTTGCGGGTATAAATTGGCAGCAGCCAGCCCAGGACCGAGTTAACTGGCGGAACATGGAAGAGGCCTTTGTCCTGCAGTGGACGTAGTCAGGCTGATGATGATGCTGCTGCTGCTGATGATGATGATCATTACGTTCAGTACTACTCTTACGCCCAGGTTTCGGGAGTATAGGTCTTACGCCCAGATATCACGGACGTATTATTCCAGTTCCAGTTACGCGTGAACACGCAGAAATAAATAGATAACATAAAGACAAAACTAAGCGAGATGCAGTCTGGTTGCGTGCCTAAGAACCACGCGAATGATTCAGAAAATGTGACGGAGCAAGAGATTACCTTAGTTTTTGTCAGCATGAAGAAGAGATGGCTCCCCAGAGTCTTGTTGATCGTGATGTAACCCGAGTACGCTTCAACGCCGTGCTCTTTCTCAAATAGGGTGACTTTGCTCAGGCGCCGTGCCTTTTCAGTGTCGTTGGACTCCAGCAATGGCGTCAAAAAAAGTGGTTTGTCCAGTCGCCTGCAAAAATGAGCAGAAAAAAAAGTAATCTGAAGGCAAAATTTTGCCTGCGCTTTGTTTCTGAGATTTACGTACATGAAATACCAGGACTCACTAAATCGATTAAGAACTAGGATGTTTTTTTTAAAGCGAGAGCCACTGCTTTTCTTATGACAGCAAGATTGTAAAATATCAAAAAACAAAGCTTACTGTAACATAGAGAGAATGAATATCATACGTCTGGAAATTTACTGCTGACATAGCTAAAAGGAGTAAACGAAGTTCTCTATCCTGTTTCACACAAATATGAAAAGTAGGTTTTGTTCATCCGAGAGTTTATTCAAACAGGATTGAAATCTTACCGCCTTTCTTCATCCGTCAAGGAATCCTTCCAACGCGGGATGTGCTTCGTGAACAGCACGGTGCAAATGACGAAGAAAAGCAGCACCAGGCTCTTCATATTTGCCTTCTATCAGCGGAAATTTATATTCGACAGAGAAAAATGCTGGAACGGAAAAACACGTGACAGAAATTCAGTGCAAAGAATCTACAGCGCTAAAAAACAAATTGAATACTCCTGTGGTGCCTCGCGGAGATGTAGCACGCAATATATCATTCTTTTAACTTTTATTGTGATAGCAGGTATATGAACACTTTAGACTGGATTTTGGCGCCGGCGTCAGCGTCGCCGTCATTCACCGTGCATGTATACGTATCTATATATACGAAAACGCAAGAAAGAGAAATAATCCAGAAAAAGACTACATCGCGTGGAATCGAACATTCGACCCGTTGCTTGTGAGTATGAGGCGTCAGCAACTGAGCTACGAAGGAGCACCTCCTTGGACAATAAAACAGCAAGCTATTTATATCTAACACTTACCGCTGGCTATGGGCGCCTCAAGGGAACTATCGTGTGTTCACCATTACCAGCGAGATGGCGCAATGAGCGCGCGCCTCCAGATCATCACGTCGCGGCGGCGCGCGCTCTCATCTCTCACGCGTACTTTGCCCTGCGGGGAGAGGGGGGATGGACGCTCACGCGTGCGCACGCTTATGTCGCAATGGGGAGAATCATACGCCTTGGGCTTTCATTGATACGATTCTGTTGCAGTTATTAGGCTCACAAAGGTGACTGCACTCGTTGCGTAGTCTCCGTTCGTTCTCGAGTGTTCTAAGAGTGGTCTATGAAAGGATCGTTTTGTACCCGAGTGCGCCCGCTGGACGTTCGCTATAGCTTAGTTGTGCAATATTTTCACCCGAAGGCTGATTAATAATCCAGTCATCTAGGCAGTAGGGTTTCCATAGTTGTACATGACTTGGGTTCCTCGCCCAATACTTTGATGTGCACGCGTGCGTAGGGGGCTATAGCATCAGGCCTTCAATACCATTGTCGATGTAGACGTAGACTCTTTGTCTGCTGGGCGACACCCGCCCGTCCGTGGTATTTTGTCTTTGTGCCTAGTATTTCTCTCTACTTCTCTTTTCTTCTCCCCCCTCTTTCTTTGAAGCTGATTTATTCTAAGTACAGAGCATCAAGTGACATTCCCACAAGTACAATGCCACCGCAGAATACAGCTGCAGGGTGGCCGTCGCCGACGATCAGCTGCCCTGCAGGAACAAAGGTGGCATCATCGCATTGTAGTTGTATCAGACGTATGGGCACCGGCGACTAGCGTCCAATTCAATAGTTATTGCTCGGATTAAGTTAAGTATGTTTTGAAAAAAAAAGTCATTTACTTCCATTCGTTGCCAGGTTGCATGACATAGCCTGACGCCGTCCCAATCGAGAAGCACTTTTTTTTTTTTTGATATTCGATGGGTCACACTGAGAGAAGAGGAAAATAAACACGATATACGTTTAGAGAGATAGAGAAGAGACAGACTCAACTTTGTTAGAAGTGAGACTAAACCTCAGAGATAATTATCTGCCAGGATGATCATGGCACTTCATCTCGTCTCGTCGGTGAGAGCCGCCGACGTCAACCACACCAGCCAGTGGGGAGGTGAATGGTAAGTGCACCTGTAGTATCCTCAGGAGATTGTAGATCAGCGAAGCATCAGAAGAGAATGTATTCTACGTTTGCGTACGTACATGTTCAATTGGGACATGAAGGATTGGAGTGGTGGTGATAAAGGAATATGCGTGATAGAGTGATAAGATTGATTGACATGTGGGGCTTAACGTCCCGAAACCACCATATGACTCTGAGAGACGCTGTAGTGGAGGGTTCCGCCGATTTCGACCACCAGGGGTTCTTTAACATGCACCTAAATCTGAGCACACCGAGCACACTATGGGCCTACAGCATTTTTGCGTCCATCGATAATGCAGCCACCACAGCCGGGATTCAATCCCACGACCGGTGGGTCAGCAGCAGATTACCTTAGCCACTAGGCCACCGCGGCGGGGCTGGAATGTAGAGTATCAAGTTAAATGGCTCCGAGTGTGTACCCATGATTGATTGAAATGAGTATCTTGCATGCGTGAATAAATCAACACATAAAGCAAGAAAAAAAAAGGTCTCAGTGGGTGAAACACCACGTACACCTACCATGCATCACTCAAAACTCACAACGCTTTCTTAATTGCGTTTCAGTGCCGCAGTCTGCTGAGCGCCTAAATTCAATAGTTTAAGCGCAATGCTGGGCGCCACGTTTTGATGCTAAGACAGCCGTTGACATGGATACACAGTAGGTGAGTTATCGCAGTTTCACCAACATTGTATCTTTATAAATTTATCTTTTGCGTGTAAACATCAGTGGTCATCATCATCATCATCATCAGCCTAACTACGACCTCTGCTGGACAAAGGCCTCTCCCAAGTTCCACCAATAAACCATATCCTCTGCTTTCTGTTTCCATGTCATCCCTGCGAATTTCCTAATTTTATCCGCCCACCTATTTTTCTGAGTCCCTCTAGTGTGTTTGCCTTCTCTTAGAGTCCAGTCAGAGTGGTTGGACATAAACCCAGCCCATGTCCGTTTCTTCTTCTTGATTTCCACAACAATATCTTTAATCCATAATTGTGTCCTGACCCATTCTGCTCTCTTCCAGTCTTTTAAACTTACACTTATCATTTTATTTTTTATCACTCACTGCATCGTCCTCAATATGAAGTTGAATTTTCTTTTTAAGCCTCTAGCGGTAATCAGTGACAAGCAGCGCTTAACACCTGTATATGCATTTTCTTGCCTACAAGTAAGTGCAAATTGACTGGCACTTAGTCGTTTTCTTTATTAGCCAATAGATGTCTCTACTAATGAGCCAATGCCACGTGGCAGTGGTGGATTAGAGAAGAATCACAGTGTAACCGCAAAAGCGCAACACAAAAACGTGACGTCGATAAATTGGAATGTGATGTGAAGCAAGGCTAGCGGATAGCTCATTTGCATTCGATCTCGCCTAACTATACAAAACGCTTGCGTAAGGAAATGCAGCCGCTCGAGGAAGTGGAGGGATTTTAGGGCTTTCCGCCGTCTCAACGCCAAGCGGTGAGCATGGGCGTAGCCAAAAGGAGAGGGGAGACGTTTGTGGGGTACAATTCTCCTCCTTTTTTTTTCAATTTTGCTTCCATACATACACACGCACACATAGAAGCGCATAGGTAACATACAAAAATTGTGGTGTAATCCCCCCCCCCCCCCCGGATAAAAAATTCTGGCTACGCTCCTGAGGGGAGAGTTCCACAAGTGCTCGGATGGGAGATGTCTACTTTTGCTATTTTTTGAACACGCTGAAATGCTTAAAAAACCTTGTTCCTTCATTTTCATAATTGCATCATTTTGTGAAGAGCAGCCATTGTTTTTTGTTGATCCGTTGATTGATTTGTGGGGTTTAACGTCCCAAAACAACCATATGATTACGAGAGATGCCGTAGTTGAGGGCTCCAGAAATTTCAACCACCTGGGGTTAAAGTCTTTAACGTGCACCCGTATCTGAGTACACGGGCATGCAACATTTCCACCTCTTTTGTTGATCCGTTGTATCCCGTTGTTTGTCTCTTATTAATGTCAGGTAAACGTTCTAGCGAGCGCAGCATACATGAAGCGATGGTGCTTGCCCCTGGTTCCAACCGTTTCCTTGTGCGCTTGCTTTCTTTTGTGCGAGCGTGGGCGTGTGTGTTCGTCCGAGCGTCTTGAGCAAGCGATTGTTCTTCCATTTCGACGGGGCCAATCCATCCAACCGCAGCAACATCCAACAGCTGTGCCGAACGGCACTACAATGAAGGGGGAGAGGACGCTTTCAAGACAGCAAAGAGATGAGGAGGAGTAAGAGGAGGAGAAGTGCGATGGCCGTTGCATGCCAGCCCCGGGGCCGATGCTTTCGAAACCGAGCGGTTTTTTTTTTTCGAGAGAATAACAAGTTTTTCTAATAACAACACGTTTCTTCAACTCCGTACTGGGAAACAACAGCCTCGAGAATGATGAAAAAATAAATAAATAAACAATAAAGCGGTGGAAAGGCCCACATCTCGATGTTTTTTGTCTCGGAAAGTAGACGGCATTCTGTAGCAGCTGATCCCTCGTTTTAGTGAACTTGCGAAGAGAGTGCGGCGCATGAATGTTTTAACAAAAAAGATGAATTGTTCGCCGAAAAAAAACAACAACAATCAAACAGGCAAGTGCAATAGAAAGAAGGCGTCTGCGTTTGAAGCTTTGTATGTATTGTGGCGCAATGGGCGGGCTATAGAAAGAGAGTTATTCGTGTTTATTCTCGCTTTTTCTGATAGACTGCGTGGCCATGTCGATCACTCATCAAACAATCGTTGCAGGCTTGCTTCGCGCAGTTGTCAGCGTGGTTCGGTATGATGAAATTCTCGCCCAAGCGGAGAACAGCATCAAAGAATATCCAGGTTGGGAATATTATTAAAAATGCAAGAATGTGCGTGGCATCGTTAGGGTTCAATGTACTTTGCGAATGTACGTGTGCTGCGCGCACGTATAAAAACAAAATAAATGAGAACTGAGACACAGTTTTATCTGAACGAGGGACTTCAGGGTAGCACTGCAGTTTTCTTTGCGGCATTGCCAGCTTTCCTTGCTTGTACTTTTTCGGCACTCTAGTGTTTGGGTCTTACAGTTTGAATGCATTCCAGTGGCGTATAATTTAGCTCCGTGCATCAGCCTCATTTAAAAATTGAAAAGCAGAAGAAAGGGGAATCAGAACAAAATGAATGAATATCACATTAATAGTGGTTGATAATCACATTTCAAAGAAGAGTCGCCCTTCTAGTGACAGAACCTTTTACAATATACGCAAACAACATCACTTCTGAGCCGGATGGCACCTAATCGCTGGTTTTTATTTCACAGCACGTCAGCTTGCTCACATTCATATGTATTTTCTCGTTAGATAAAACAAACTAGAATAATTTGTAAGACCGCGCGCCAATGTGTCCGCACTACTAATATTAAAGACGGCCGTGCCTCTGAATACGCCGAGACCCCGTATGCTCGAAAGAACGTGCTGTGCACTATCAAAAGACGCTCGTTCATCTATGTACGCAGCAAAATCTATTTATGAAGCTTTAGAAACATGTGCTTTTTCGGTCAGCTCCTAGATTGAATGAAGACAAAACTGTTTACGGCCTGAAGGTATACCAAGCGACATTTTTCCTCGTTACTCTTGCTGAGCCTTCTCCTACACCTCGAAACACGTTGTGTTTGACTATCACTGCTATTGCTCAGAGTCTGTACCGTAGGCAGACCTGCGTTTGCAAAGCACATCGACCTCGGATCTGCGTCGCCAACTTGGATCGTAATAAGGTACTGGCTGTGCGCTACGCTACATGAAGGACTTCCGCTGCTCGTTACTATAAGGACTAGAGGATCTTAGCGGAACAGTAATAACAACTTCTGAAAGTGTGTACGTGCGGGCTTGCATGTGTTTATGTGTTATAATGTGTGATCATTGCGTGTGCCATCCGGCACCTAGGCTAGCGATTCCGTTGATAAACCCGGCTAAGACACTCGGAGTTATTGCTAAGGGAAGGATAAAGATTCAAAGGAGTACACAAAAATGTACTTTTAAGTGAGCCGTGCCACCAGCACTTACCAGCTCACGCCAGTCTATTCGATTTGTAGTCCATCACATCAACCCCTTCATCTCGTTGCCGCTGGTGCGTAAATAAATAAAGATTTATTGCTCTATATCCCTATCAACCGTACTGGTAATGTGAAAAAGCGTAATGCGCTCAGCCTAGAGACAGTTACGTTGGTGAGTGCACTGCTACATCCCCATTATTGCCCCTATTCGCTCACGCTATGGCTGGGTAGCAAGCCATTTGCTAATATATGGTTAACCTTCCGGACTTCATCTCCACCTTTCTCTCTTTCTAAATAAATAGATAAAGGCGCCCGGTTGCTAATGAGGTAGACCACTCCCAAACGAAAGGCTTTGAGCATGTGTGTTGCGTAATTCACAATCGACGATTAACAGCCCGCAAATAAAACATGGACGAGGAAGCTGCGCCCTTTGTTTTTCTACCGATGTCACTCGTTCACTACGATTAAAAAACAATCAGCCAACCAGCAAGCCCTAACGAAGCTGGTGTATGAGCAGGGTAGCATGTGTACTACAACGTATGAACATGCGTTCGTGCAGGCTAAAATTTCTGCTTTTCAATAAATAGCTCTCTCTCTTTCTCTCTCTCGTTCGTGCAAAACATTATGAACGCTTCCCAACTACATTTTCGTGGAGTATCGAAACTAAAGCTGTAGTTATCGATAAAACGCTTTGTTCCTGCGTTGTCAACTCGGAGGGTACATTGCGCACTTGTAAGGGGGAAAAACAGAAAACGAAAATAAAGCAACTTTCTGTGCACAGAACCCTAGTGGTAGTTATTACAGAACAGTCGCCTTGAATCCAGTTGAACCCTCTTGAGTTTCCCGAGCCCACTAACCGTATATTTAAAGAAACACGAAAGTCGCTTTCTAGACATTTTCGATTGAATCCATTCTCTTTGCTGTCGACAAACGCCTGGATGCATTGACTTCCTCCACACAGTGAATATAATTCAGGCTACGGCACTCAGCAGAAATCGGGTAACCAATAAATGCAATTCAGACTTACGGCTGTCGCTACATAAAAGTAGGTATGTTTAAAAATGCCCACGAATCATCCTTAGAAGAAGGTTTTGCAAATGTCCGCAAGCTGTATCAGTTATCACAATGCAGTTCAATCGCTCTTCCAATACAAATGATAACTGTAGAAGAGGAGCATTCGGTAACGCAGGAAAAATAACGCCGTACTCACCTCTATCGCGCCTGACCTTTCTGTGAAGGTGAAAGTGGAGCGACATGTTCGCCCGCTGCCAGCAGCGAGAGTGCGCAGATTATGGAAAAAAAGAAAAAAAAATCAACACATTCTGAAGATTGTACCGCCACCGCTACACGCAGACTTCCCCATTCCCATTGCACAGCTGCCACTACTCACCTCTCGGCAAAGGCGCCCTCTATATGCTTATTGTGGAGCAGCAGCTGCGTCGCTTATACTTCGGGTAACGTAAACGCACTGGCGAATGCGCATGCTTCACAGTTATGTGAATTTGACTATAATTTCTTTTATTTTCGTGTATGTATTGGCGAATATGGCTGTGCTATTCTGGTGGAGGCTGTGACGAAGTAGATTACGTTGCTGAACTTAGGCATGATCAGAAACTGCTATTCCGAGGTATCTCTTTCGACATCAAACGCCACCGTGAAAACCAGTATAGTGCGATCTCTCGCCAAAATGTAAGCAAGGTTTTAGACAGCTTCTTTTGCGCTGTTCTCGAATGTGGTATATTTTTATTACATTCGCCGCATTACCTTCCTCATTTCCTTGTTGCAGTCTCCCACATTGTAACCCTGGTACTAGTGCCACTTCGCAATTCGCTAGTGTGAATTCAGCATTTCAAAATCGTAAACATCTCTGAATATTTAGATGCTCCGTCCGCCTCGGTGGATCAGTGGATAGGGTGCTCAGCCACTGACGCGATGGTCGTGGTTTCGATCCTGGCCCCGGCAGTCATATTTCGATAGAGACGAAGTGATATAGGCCCGTGTACTGCGCCATGTCAGTGCACATTAAAGAACACCAGGCGGTCGAAATTTCAGCAGCCCTCTACTGCGGTGTGTCTCATAATGATATCGTGGTTTTCGGACGTAAAAACCCACGTAGGAATATTGAGATGCTCTGCACAATGTTTCTTCGCGCGAGTGACAAATTCTCACGTGTGCTTACACGTTACTAGCGAACACGCTCAAGGACAACAGGGATAGAGACAGAACAACCACTATACTTCGACCGATTTTCAATCGACATGAACGACAATGAATAGCATTTCACTGGGCACACACAGGTACCGCGTCACAGACAAAACATTCACAAAAGGAATTTCACCACCACCTACCATTAATACGTGGTGTTTAGTTGCACAGATAGTCCAATTCTTTTTTCGACAATGCGATGGATAGAGTGCTGATACATGCGCCACCCGCACTGTGAATTTCGAGAGCCCCTACTTTTCCTTGTTGACCTTCAACATGCAGCACAAAAGTAGCGTTGTATGCGCGGATAAAACATTCGAGCTTATTGCAGTGCACCGCCAATAAACATTTCACTGCTGGTGATCTAGAAGGGGGTGGTTTATACTTAAGCAAGTCTTGACACGGATGAGAGGCGAAATTTGAAAAAAAAAGTGAAGATGGTGTTATTGATAACAGCGATTATTGTAAACTTTAACGTCTCGAAACCATCATATGACAAAGGTTGTTACTATCTTGCCACATGTTATATGATATAGATTGTTCTGCAGCATGGATTTTACACAGCTTTCTGTCACACTCACCTTCGAATATCCTCCCGCATAACGAAAGATAATGAAGATGCAGAAGCTCAATGGCAATCAGTGTTAATAGTAATGAATTACAACCAAGCACTGTGTCCTGATGAATGTTGATGATGTACACGATTTACGTGGAAGCCGCAAATTACTCCCTTCAGGCGGGAGGAACGCTGCTTGGGCAAAGCTCTCTCCACATCACCCCTCATGCTTAGCTTTCTATTTCCGAAGCAAAGACAGTATGAAGAGCAGCGTCGTGGTAGCGTTGGATTCCACACCTGTTTTCATTAGCAACTGACATGGTAAAGGGACACTAAAGTTAAACAATTAATCTGTTTACATTGAATAATTGTACTCTGCGAATTCATATGTCTATAATTTCAACATCATAGGTTCACCGGTAGAAAAGAAAATCAAGCTACACATTTTATTTTCAACATTTGCGCCAAAACCACCTCGCGTGTTGTCACGGATTCCAGACTGGTATACCCACATTTGGGTGATATCGGCACGAGCAAACTTACTGAAACTTAGTATGTTGAGTCCATGGCCCCTTCAGAGGATTATACACTCTATCTTTACTGATAAGGCACTACGTAGGGCCTAGTAGATAAGTCGAAACTTGTGCCGTCACTGCGTTTGATCCGGAAATTTCTGGGTGGCATCGCCACACGCGTTGCTTTTGCATATTTCCTCCCTTACGAAGCTTCTCCTGGTGGGAAGCGTTGCTATTCTTTAATTTCGAAAGACAAATTTGTATAAGGAAAAAATGGGGGCCTCTTCACAGTGGTGGTGCCCAACCTGAACGAACAGCACCACTGCGCGGCCTTCCTAGCGTACAGGTGAAGCTTAGTTAGCCTATATAGAAATAGCCAGGTAAGCCTTGATTGATTGATTGATATGTGGGGTTTAACGTCCCAAAACCACTATATGATTATAAGAGACGCCGTAGTGGAGGGCTCCGGAAATTTAGACCACCTGGGGTTCTTTAGCCAGGTAAGCCTACACATCGCCACATAAACATAGAGATGAGCAGTTAAGCCTACGAAAGACTCGAAAATTTTCCATTCTATAGTGTATAAACAAATGCTAGAACATAGATACAGGTTGGTTGGCTACCCGATAAAAAGATCTGTCTATGCCCTTGGGTGAAAAAAAATGGCAGCATATCCACGGAGTGAATGATGGAGACTGGGGGAAGCATCCATCCGTCCATTCGTTCTTGCTTCCGTCCGTCCATGCGTCCGTCTGTGTGACCGTCCGTGCGTGCGTCCGTTCGTGCTTCCGCACGTCCATCCATGCGTCCGTCCCTGCGTCCGCCCATGCGTCCATCCGTTCATGCAGCCATCCGTGCATCCGTCCGTGCACCTGTCTGTGTGTCCGTTCGTCCATCTAGTCAACACTCCAAGTACCACCATCTCGTATCTTTTCATCCAGCGGACATTTCAAGGACTAAACGGGAGGTGGCACACGCCCACTTTCTTACGGCTTGCACTTCGTGTCTACTTCCCACCTTTAACCCCCTAGAGTTCATGGTATATACTAGTTCACTGTATTCATGGCACTGCGGCTTAACGCTCGCTAAACCTTTCTAAAACCAAGAAGGTTACGCCCAGCGAGTATAACGTAGCAACCCTTTCTTGTCAGATAGTGCTCAATGTACATGCCAATGCCTGCTAATGGCGAATGAGATACAGGAGAGTTCGGCTTTTAGTTAACGCGCACGCTGCGAATTTTTTATAGTTCAACAACGCACAGGAGAAATCTCCAACCGGCACCACCTTGCAGGTGAAAGCGTAAGACATGTTACGTACTACGATGAGAAGAACGGGTGCCGCTTTAAGGAGCTTCGCCCCTAAAAGTATGCAGGGCATGGCCAGCGCATTCGCAGTGGCGGATCAAGTGACACGTTCCATATAGAAGGACGGTTGTACAAAGTAAATTTGGAGAGAAAAGAGAGAGGGAGGGAGAGGGAGAGAAAGGGAGGGGTTTTTTGGAGTTACTGCTATCGCACGGCTTCTGCCATGGCAAATATGCTGTTCATTTTTGCTGTAACACTGATTCGCCTAGCTTCGTCTTGCTGTCTATTAGGCAGGCAACCCGATGAAGGAAGCGGACGGCGTGAGCAGTAGGGGGAGGATGCTGTCAAGAGCTTTGGGGAGCGGGACGGCCTCCTCTGCGCTTTGGATCCACCGCTGCGTCTTCATTTAGTTCTTGGAGGCAGAACTCACCGAAAAGGGGAAATGGGAAAGGGGGATCGGCCCGACTATGGGACATCCCCAATCCCACAGAGAGAGCCAGGGCCCCCTATCGATCGAAGCGGACAGCTTCGCAGGTGAATGCGGGCGACGCGGCTTGCGATCCGGTTCAAAGAGTGGCGCCACCATTCACACCGCATCTGTTCTTTTCATTTCGGACCGTGGGCCGCGGGGCTTGTCTCTCCGATACCGGCCTCCGAAAGGCTTCAAGTTGCGCCGTAGGACGGTGGCAGCAGCGGTCTCTGGTTCGTGTGTTATCTTTGCTCGCGCCCCTATCGCTGACGTCGTGCTTTCTGCGAGCTCGTGCGTGCGCGTGTGTTGGTGAGCGTCACTTCTGCCGGTGCATCTCGAGCAGACGAAAACGACCGGGAGTGTGTTTTTTCTGTGTGTCCTTGCGCCCGTGTGAGTTCTTCGTTGGCTGCATTTCGCCGGTGTTCTTCCGAGGGCGGGTTTTCGTTATTCGCCGGCTACTGACTTCGCCGGAGCCATGTTCCTGCTGAGCCGTCGACGCCGGCGGCTCCGATCCGCCGTAGACGAGCGGGCGGCATCGCATTCGCGGAGGCGCACGCACGCAGGATACGCTGCCGGCGTTGCGAGCGCCGCCTCTGACGAGTGAGCGCCGTGCCCGACGGTGCCGGCACGGGAGAAAGCCGGGACTTGTCTACTACATCATCGTCACCGCTCGGCCCGGCGTCCGGGGGTGAGTGAGTGTCCCCGCACCCCCAACTCCGTTCGCCCTTTCATCGGCTATTCCTCCGGAACGAGCGTATCGGGGAATCGAGGGAGAGAAATTCGTCCGCCGGCCCGGGCTCAGTTCCAGAGGGTGAAAGATAAGGCGCCGGCGGCCGTTCGTTCTCGTCGCTCTGGAAGGACGGACTAGGTGCGCCCATCAACCGCAGGTCAGTGTCATCAAGTCACACGCGGTGAATCGCCTTCCATCGGGAACCCTCTTTGTGGGCCCGCAATATTATTTCCTTTTGAAGCGATATTTCAGGCCATGCCTGGGCGATTGGTGTTCGCGACAGTTCGGATGGGATGACGATGAATGTACAAGATTCGCTCCGATTTGAAAGGGAACATTTGGAGCCGGATTTACGGTCATGTTGTTAACAATTGTTATATGGGCATTGGTCAGCCACCTTGGCTACACTTGGCGCTTGGATCAGCTGAGATTTTAACAAAAAAGAGTAAGAACCCCCCCCCCCCCCTTTTCTTTTGTAGAATACTGGTCCGCGTTTTCGTTGAAATTCAATGTTTTTATTGCTTCTGCTCATCCCAACTCCGCCCCCACCCCCCGAATTCCAGAATCGAGAATAAGCGCATTAGTTCTTATCACAGGTGTTTGATTCGCTGTTGGTTCTCGCATTTCCTTATTGTAAAAAGGCAGTGTCCGGCATCACTTCTCTACACTTTCTGTACGCACTTATTTGATTAGCACTTCCAGGTACTGATGAAAGAATAGATTACATTGGCTGCTTTATTCCTTTATATTGTTCTTTTCCATTGCACTGAACCGAATGCTGATATTGAACTGCTGGGCTGTGAATACCTTTAACGAAACTTGTACGCTGAAGCTCTGTGCTAGCACCGGTGTTTGTGGCTTCACTAGAGATCCTACAGCTTGATAGCGCGCTGTACCGTGTACTCATCGTGTAAAACATCATCAAACACCGCACTTAAACGCATCTAGTGGCAGCTGCTGGCTCATTGCCGGCTCATGCATCGCGGTGTATATCGTCTTCACCGCGTGTTCCACCCAGCTGGCGGTGCTCTTGTTGCTATAGTCCGTGTGTCATTTCCTATCTGAATACGAAATGCCTGCTTTCCGCGAACGTGCTGCATATATTGCGCCTCCAGTTCGCCTCACGGTATACAACTGATCAACCGACCTTGTACTTTTTGTTTGTGCGGAATTCTGCCCCTTTCATTTTATTTTCTAGTACAGGGAGAGATGAGGGAAAGGCAGGGTGGTTAATCTGACTTGACGCTTCTGATTTCCTACGCTACTCAATTACAAGTGGAATGGGAGAGGAATTCCTGAGAAAACAAAAAACAGCGGGAAGCGCGAAAAAACAAAACAGAGACTGATGATGAAGAACTGGAGAATCTTGGTACCTTTAAAAGACCACTTGCACGTAAAGAGAGAGAAACACTTCAGTATAGCAAGCACCTTCTTGAATTATGGTGGACCGAATGATTAGGTTGACATTTCAGGTGACGATATGGCTACGAAAATAAATGTTTCGGCGTTACGTGTTAAAAACATGCTATGATTGCGGTATACGCCGTTGTGGAAAACACCGAAATTGTTTTTACCATCAGGCGTCCAGAAACGTGCACCTTTAAGTGCGCGGGTTGAACAAGGCAACACCTTAGCATTCGTGGTACACCGCTCGATTCCGATGCGTTCAGTATAGAAAAACATTTATTTCTTTATTTCTTTATTATTTATTTATTGCGTTTGTGCGACCACAGTGTCGTCTGGCCTGCGCTGAGGGAACGAACGGTTTACTGCAGAAACGAGATTGTGGAAGCCGGGTTCTAGGAAGGTGCCATAAAGATTAGGAATCATCGCTGGCACTGACGAGAGATAGCAGTTGTACGTTTCCTTTGCAGCCTCAACAACGAGACATTTCCGCTGCCATCTTATTTTTTTTCTCATCTCGCCGTGCCTTCATTAATTTGGTGGCCCGAAGGGGACGACCAAGACGTCCTTCCCGAGATATCTATCCCTTTCCGAATCTCTCTGCTTACTTGTTGAAGGCTCCAGCTAGTTATCGCAATCGATGCCTTGATTGATGGAACGACACAGCCGCGCATTTCCGGTATCGCAATATCTCACCCGATAAGGGTGATACGAGCCTGGCCTCTCTTTGCTCTCCTTACGCATTGTTTCCTTCCGATCCGGCCGAAATAGAGTAAGATGGATGGATGTAGGACGAGTAGAGCGTGAAGAAATCCCGAAGAAAGTCGATCCAAGCTGCGTCGTAGCTCTCATCAACCTTACAGGGGAGCGGAGTTCCTGGTAATGCGAAGCGGGACAGTTGTAGCAATCGACGTGAATCATTTTCACCAACGTCAGGAGTAGCAGAAACGTCTCTGGTGACTTTTGATGAAGCGTAAGCTAATGACGGACGGGTTGGTTAATGATTTTTAACGTCCCGCAGCAACTAAGGTTATGGGAGACGCCGTGGTGAAGGAACTCGGTTAACGGATTCTATAACGTGCAATCGCATAGCATTCACAGCCTCTGGAATTTCGCTTCCATCGATGTGCGACCACCGCGGCTGGTATGAGACCCGCATTTTTTAGTTCTGCAGACACAACTCTTAGGTCGGCCACGTCATGCAACTGCATGAACTCATGAACGCATAGAGCAGGGGGGGTCGTGCAAGGAGCCTGGGCCATACGTGTCCGAATCCCTTGGTCAAATAAAGTTTTTACCACCACCTGGTGGTAACTATGGGGGATAATGTATTACCGGGAGGAATACAGCTGCCAAAAGAAACTTCGTTGCTGTCTTTAACGCAAAGTGCATTCCATGTATTGTCATAAAAAATATGAGAGACCTTAGAACTCAGATGCCTTTCCCCTCGAGCAATAACAGAATGAAAGGTTGACAAAAATAGTTGGTCATTTGCTACAAAATTTTGAAATTTTGTCTTAGTTTGTGATTGGTTATAAGGTTGCGATAGCAGGTTGTAGGTGACCTACTTGCCCAGGTTCTCGTTCTACATAGAACGCTAGTTTGCAGGATCACAGGCTACAAAACTGTACGCGAAAGTGTTGTTGGACGTGGATGTGTAACACTTGCCAAAGTGCAGTGAGTGCCCCGATTGCTTGGCAGTCTTATGACTGCTGGCTATAAAATACAATCTCCATATTTTTAGGGTCTCATCAAGAAAGAGGGGTGGAAGGTCGGTACACAGCACTCAGAAAGTTCCAGGGCATGTGGCTGGTAACATAAAAACTTACTCCCCCTTGCCGCTTTTATCTCCGGCTGTACCCCTGACATAAGCAAACCATGCCAACAGCACCTTTGGGAAACACGGGATTGTTTGGAAGGGTGGCTAGCGCAGATCTTGTAGAACTTCCTCCTGTTTATCATTGCTTACCTGTTTTATCGATGGGTTGCACTCGGGTACGCACTTTGATAGAAATTCCTTCACGCCTAAAACGGTGCTGCTGGCACTAAAAACAACACTTTGAAAGCTGAAGGGGCTGGATTCACCCATCTAAATGACTTCTGTTATGCATGCGTACTGCTAGCCGAAGAGTCATCTTTAGGGAGATATTTTTTCTTGGCTTGCGCTGAACTCCTTTTGCCTGTAAGCTACGCCACGTGGGAAGCGCTCGTTACGCGACACAGCTACACAAGCCATACCCCACATTTGCGCTTACGCATGTTCTGCACTATCGCGGAGTGCTTATGTACTACACCGTATACAGGCGGTGTGCACTCGGGCTCTGCGTGATGCGGGGCAATCGGGTCGGTTACGCGAAACGAGCCATCTGCTTATACGGTACGCTGAGGGCCTCTGGTGAGCGAGACCCTCGCTAGCGCGCATTCAGTATGGCGGCATGGGGCTTGCGGCACCCTCGCGATTTGCGTAAACTGGGCCGGCTGCACGCAAGTCGCTCGTTGTGCGCTGCCTACGAGCGCGCGCTAATGTCTGCTCGCGTAGCGCGCTCCCCTTGCTTCCTCCAGTTCTACCCTCCTTGTTGGGAGGAAGAAGGGAAAGGAGGGAAGAAACAAGCCTCGAGGGGAAACACCGGACTCGTACTTATAGGGTGAACGGGCTCGCTCGCTGGACTCGGGGTTGCACTGCGCAGGCCAGGCACGTCGACGTGAGTGCGAATCTTCTGCGAGTGCCAGGGAAGGTGGGGGCAGTCATCTAGGCCCTCGACGTGTCTCAATGCCCGACCCCTTTTCACCTCCGGCCGGCTAAGCTCTTTCCGCAATGAAACTGGCCTCCATGATTCGGCTCACACGGCGAAGCAGTGGTCGTTGGGGGTTGGGTGTTCTATAGTTTGGAAGTGGAACTCCCGATAGACCTCTGCCTCGAGCTCGCTCTTGAATGCCAGTTCTTTTTTTTTTTTTCAGGAAGAACGCTACTGATGATGATTTACAGGGATGCCTTGTAGGTGTACATGTCGCGCATAAGCGTAATGTTTTGATATCATTCACGGAGCTTCGGCGCTTGTGCGCGTATTTTAACAGAATCGACGATTGGTCACTTGCAGGAAAAACGACAACAGTGAATTCATGTGGGAACAATACTAGGCTGTCATTATTACCCTGTTATGAAGTCTTTCGGGCTATTTTCGTGATATAACTGGTAAAAAGTTTTTTTTTAATTTTTCTTTCATTTCCTCTTGTAGTTAGTGGACATTGGCTCGTTGCAGCTGTGCACTTTGTGTTGTTTGCTCACTGTGACGCTCTGCATGGTGTTCTAGGAATTTTGAGAGACACACTTTTTGAAGCGCAGCTGTTAATTATGCCTCAAGGTTTATAGTTTGTCGCAGGTGAAAAGTCATAATCATAACCGGCACGCACTCAGTCACCTCCCATGCATTTTGTTGAGAAGATGAAACTATTATCCATAATAACCATGCATACAGTACAGTATAGAAAGATGAGGCAGAAAATACAGGTGAAAGGGTAAAAGCCTACCTAGCCAAGCCAGAACAGGCACCCACGAGCTCTGCAGTGATTCAGCCTTGCGCGACTTATGTTATTCATCTTAACTGATTTACTAGTTTCAAATAATTGAGGTCTACAGGTGAGTATGGATATAATAAACGAATAAAACTATTACATGCACAAGTACGCAACAGCACACGCATTCTTTGCTTATGTTCAATGTTCAGAGAGCCTCACCAAACCAAATCCTTTTGT